CCCCCCCTCCACTCCCTCTGATTCTTTGGCCTGAGATTCCTGCTCCAGGCAGGGAAAAAGGGAGGGAGGACTTCAAGGTCTCAGCTAGACCTGTTCCACATGTGGATGATTTATTGCATGTGTGGAAGATGGTCTGTTTAAGCCGGTCAAGGGGACTTAGTCATAAGAGCTGGTAGGGTGAGCTGAGCAGATTCAGTATCACTCCCTCTAGTGAGGCCCCTTAACACTCTGACCCAGAAATAAACCCGGCCTTCCCCATCAATGCTTTGTGAGTCCAGTCCCTCTCCGCCGCTACCCAGCCTATTAATAGGTCCCCAGCCTTTGCCAGGAGTCACTTTTCTCAAGTTCCCTTCATTTAACTCCCAGCTCCCCCTGGGTGCAGGGTCCAACTTGAGAGCTCAACTTCAGCCTTTGGCCTCTGAACGCTGGGCTATGAGGCCTCCTACATCACAGCACAAAGCAAACAAACCAAGGTAACATCGTGCCCAGCTGTCCTGCCAGAGCATGGAAGAATGTCAAAAACATCCCCTTGGCTCTCTCACTCTAGAAATAAATCAAATGGCAACTGCCTCTTCTAACACAAAGCATTTCCTGGAAGCTCTTAGGAAGACTCGGAAACGCTTACAATTGAACAAGCACATTTCCGTCCCTTCCTTTCTCCGAGCACCCAGAGACCCCTTGATGTAGGTTGGAATGCCATGGCACACAGCAAGGCAGGGCTGTTTTCCCCATGGGCACACAGCAGGGCAGAAGTGTGGACTGCATTGTCTGATTCAGAGCTCAGAGTGCTGCCCACTCACACGCATAGCTGCCCAGCCCCCAACCAGGGGGTGCAATGCACTGTCTGCCTGAGGACTTCAGGCTACTAGCTACTGAAGGGAGCACTGGGAACCTGGGCCCTCTATTCTGAGCTCAGCCTCCTTCTGGGAAGCAGGCTGTGCTGGTGCCTCAGAACAAGGAGAGGCACCTAAGAGGCAGACTTGTCCAGTTCTGGCAGCAGCAGAGGGGCCAAGCTGCCCCTGCCTTCCTGCCCAGCACCTCTCCTGGTCCCAGCTCCTCTTAGGTGCTTTGGGAGCAACTCACTGCAGGATAAATGTAGGTCAAGCTCCCTATACACACAGCAGAACACACTCCATGCATCTGTCTCATTGGCTCAGGTGGGCAAAACCACAACCCCCGTCCTGCCAGGATGTGGAGGAAGCTCTCAGGAACACCCAGGGAAAATCACTCATGCACAGAAGTTAACAGTTTATAAGACACCACCGTTATCTATGAGCTCAACTGAGACCCATAACACCTTGGCAGTCAGGTACAGCCCAATTTCACAGATTGAAAGACTAAAATTAAGGGTCAGAGAGATTGATTTGCCAAAAGTTAAACAACTAGAAAGCAGCAGGGCAAAGATTAGAAACCAGTCTTGACAGATTACAAATTCATGAACAGTGCAGGTTACCCCAAGAAAATACATATCTGATGGTTGATAGGTTCCTAGGGCTGTTTGACCCTGCTCTCTATTACTATTATTACTATTGTTGTTATTATTGTTATTATTAACTTGAATAATAAATAAGCCAAGTATTCTGCTCATTTATTTCAAGGATCATTTCATTTCATCTTAAAAACATCTCTTTGAAGGAGGAATTACTATCCCCATTTTAAAGATGAAGAGGCTGAGGCTTAACTTCTTAGATAATTTGCCCAAGGTTACATAGCTAGAGAGTGGTAGAGGCAGATTCNTGAAGGAGGAATTACTATCCCCATTTTAAAGATGAAGAGGCTGAGGCTTAACTTCTTAGATAATTTGCCCAAACCCAGCAATCCGGATGACTTCAGAGGCTATGCTCTCTCGGGGGAAGCAAGCTGACGTTGAGCCTGTTTTTCACTTGCAGCCTATCATTCAAACCCCACAGGTAGTTACTCAGATGATAGAAATAAAGGTTGGCCTCAGAGTCCTGCAATTCGGTTACATAATCCCTTCACCCCCACCCTGAGTCAAAAGATAATAATGTAAACATCCTAATATTACCCCCCTCCCTTTGCAGCAGACTCCCAGCTTCCCCAGGGAAGGAGGGGGGATGAGTGCATTCCAAACAAGGGGTGGGGGCAAGATCGTGGCAGCAAGATCCTGTGTCTTCCCCAGAGCCAGTGAGTGACTGAGCCATCAAACTGGGACATGTCCCTCCTACCCATGTCTGTGACCCATTTCAGAACTTGTATTACAATAGAAGCAAGAACCTTCTGAGGTCCAGAGACATCTTCCAAACTGGGTTTCTCCACTGCTACCCCAGGAGGTGGACTGGCACCATCCGGTGCAGGGGTCTCAGAATACATGAGTTCCAGACTGGTTTTGCTGCTGTTTCTAGCCAGGTGATCTTGAGCAAGTTACTTTTACCTTTGCAAGCTTTGGTTTTCTCAAGTAAAATACAGGAATAATAAATGCCTACCTCACTAGAGTATTGTGAAGATCAAATAAGACAGATAAAAGCACTTAATAAGAGGCTAGGTCCCATGTATGTGTGCATTAGTATATAATCAGACTCCAGAGGGTACTGCCCATTCCTGAGGGATGGGGCACCAAAGTCAGATGAATCCAAAGAGAAGGGGCTCACCATTCCTTCTCAGCACCTGGAAGTGAGGCAAGTAGAGCCCCCAAGCCCATCCCTATGTCAGCTTTGAGTCCTCCTCAGCCCAACTGCCCCTAGGTTTCCTCCAGCCACAGGAAACTTTGCAGTCAGGAGCCCCGGGAAACTGCTCTTTGAGGGTAACATTTGGCTGGTGACACAAAAGAGTTCTCCTGTGGATGGTGGCTGTGGAGGGCTGGTTTAGGAAGCCAGCTAGCCTCAAGCTCACCACAGCAGCCTAGACACACCCTGTGGCGGTTCCTGGTCTGGAGGCAAGGAGGAGCCACAAAGGGCCCCAGATGTAGGTGCCCAGCTGTCACATTCCCCCACAGCGGGAGCTCTGTGTCTTCTCGCCGCCCTCTGCCTTGAAGGGCTGGAGGCAGGGGGCAGCCACAGCAGACAGAATCCAGCCCCTTGAAAATACGCCTAGGAAGCACACACAGTCTTCAAATCAGATTGCCATTCTCTTCGCCTAGTAAAAGCCCTGAGAGCCCTCTAGGCTAACAGCTGCCCTCTATAAAATCCTGCTCAAACTCTGTAAGGACAGGTGGGGATGAAGGATGCCAGCCAACATGCAGGGCAGCCCGGGGACATAAAAAGCATGTTGGACTGGAAGTCAGGCACCTGAGTCCCTGTCCTGTTTCCATTCACTTATTTAGCTGTTGATCTCAGGCGAATCACTTCCTACTTCCTGGCTCCCATTTCCTCATCTTTCAAGCATTGCCTACCAAGCAGAGGGCTTTTGAATATCCCATGATATTCAAAAAGGACTATATCTCCCCACCCCCTAGAACAGCGGGCAACATACACTTGTTGCCCGGCCGGGCGTGGCTCAGCGGTTGAGTGTCAACCCAGGATCTAGGAGATGGGGGCTCGATTCCCGGTCAGGGCACATGCCCCGGTTGCAGACTCGATCCCCAGTCGGGGGCCTGCAGGAGGCAGCTGATCAATGACTCTCTCATCATTGATGTTTCTCTCTCTCTCCCTCTCCTTTCCTCTCTATGAACTCAGTAAAGATATATTTAAAAAAACAAAAAACATACACCTGTTGGGCTCAACTCAAGTTAGATGTAATCTGTGAAGCTTCAAGGCAAAGGAGAGAGGCATCATCATGGTTATTTATCATCACCATCCCTAGGGCCACCTTGGCCCTGGGCACCCTTATCTAGGTTCTCTGGGCTTAGGTGGTTGGCTGAGCCCAGCTCTCCGGGAGAGCAATCTTACAAGTTGAGCAGTGGAAGTCCATCCACCAACGCCCTGAACCAGTTTGACCCAGACAGATTCCTGGCCTCAATCCCTCTTGACTACCCTCAGAGTCACTGCCTCCACCCTGTGCTAATGATGCCATTTTATAAATTTAAGACAAACACTTCCTGCCCTGTCCCAAGACTTTGGGAAGGATAATGTGGCAACTGTCTGTCATTCTTAAGCAACCCCCTCCAATACCAAACTCTTGACAAGGATGTTATAGGAGAGGACACACAAGTGACCATGGACATGAGTCTGTCTGCCCCTTGCCAAGTACAGGGCAGCTCTGCTATGTGAGGTCAAACGGGACAAGGGAGCTTTAAAAAGCCAAGGGGTCTGCACCATCACAGTACAAGAGATGCCAGGCAGCCAGTCTTCTGGACAGGTTGGGAGGTGGTGTGCACCCAACAGTCTCCTGGCCTTGTCCAGAGTCTCCCAGGTCACAGAGCCTGCCTCCCCACAGGGCCTCCTGCCCAGCAGAAGAGAGTGGCTGTTTACAGCCTGATGCGGGTGTTGGCCTCAGGCACACTGGCGACATTATGCCTGCCAGAGAGCATGGCAGTGGCGTCATTCCTGAGGGGTTGCCAAGACAGCCGTTTACTGGGCTTGGCCTAACAGATCAGCTGGGGAACCCATGGCCCCTCCACCCACACCCCTGCCTAGGGAAGGGTGGTGCTGCCTGACTGGGGGCTGATGCCTACTGGATCGGTTTCCATTTCCTGTTAATCTTGCACAAAGGAAGTTTTCTCCCACCCCATGGCCAAAGGCCAGTACCCACCATGTCCCCCACCTCCTGGCCTTTGCTTGCCGGGAGAGGGGGAGAAAGAAGGGAGGAGGGGCTTTTCTCCACTCCCATGATGATCACTCTCTGTGCAGTCCTGCCAGGCCTTAGACTCAACCCACATTAGTTCATTCACGTGCACACATGTTTGAGTACACACACACCTGCACAGCATGTGTCCAAATGTGCCTCATACCTGCCTGCAGGTCTCAGGAAAGGAGGCCGCAGGAGCTCTGCTCCCCCCAGAAATACTCCATCTGGAGTAGGCATGAGGCAGGGAATGAAGGACCTGTCTTCAGGTATCAGCTCCCCGAGCCACATGCTTATTTCAAGCAAGCAGGCAATGTCCTCAAGGATGAAAGAACGTCACAGACCCGCACCACAGGAAATTGCATCCTATGCGGGGGAAGCTCCTTCCTCTTACTAAAAATATTTCCCTTCCTCCCAACTTCCGCCCAGAGGTTTAGAAGAAACTGGGTGGAATTATGAATTCAAGGAACAGTGACAACTAGGACCATCCACGTGGCTGACAAAGAGTGCTGAGGGCAGGAACACTCACATGCAGGATGGAGCCCGGATCGCCTTCACATATTTGCAGTCTCCGTGGATGCAGAAGTCCTTGTATTTCCGAAGACATGGGTCTCTCTTCTTCCCTAACCCCTTGCCTTTCTTCTTTCTTTTCCCACGTTCCTCCTTGCTGGGTGTGGCCAGAGCTTGTGGCTTGGAGGAGAAAGGAGCTGCAGGAGAAAAGTATTTTATTAAGTCTTTGAACCACCCCCTGCAACTGAGAAAGAATCAGAATAGCACAGCATCTGGATCCCACCTGAAGTCAGAGGCCAGGGAAGGCCAGTTGGCTCAGTCCCTCCAAAACAAAGACCGGGCAGAGCCACCAGAAAGTGGTGGAGGAAGTAGAGGCTAGTGGGGGGTCCCAAGGAAGGCATTTCACAAACTCAGTGTCAAAACCTCATTCCAAGAATGCTAGCTTCTGCTGAGTAACTGCGGCTGATTGGGCAATTCTACCAACCTCCCCCCACCCCACTGTCCATCCCCATCTCCTGTTGTCCCATGCCACCTTGGTTCTATTTTGGCCTTAAATCAACCTCACTTCCCGATGCTGCACTCAGTGACCCACTTGCAGGAAGACAGTGTCAGAGATAAAAATCGCTGCTGGAGAAGGTTCTTGGAGGGTTTTTCTTGGGGGGTGGGTTCTAAATAAGAACAGGGTCCACATCCAGGTGGCCTCCTCTGGAGGACCTATTAGCACCAGGGTACCATGAGCCCAGTGCAGAGCCAGGCTCAGGGACAGTACTGGTAAGCCATCCCTGGTCAGGGCCTTGCTTTTTTTACTTCAAGTAAAATATTTACCCTGTTCTGTGCCCTTTGCAGCTCACCACTTCTCTCAAAGGTCCATTTACATTTATCCCCAAATGTCCTGTTTATGGCTCTCTAGGATGGGGAGTAAGTGTGTACAAGGGGTAAAAAGATGAAAAGTAAGGAACTATCCAGAAGGAACTGGAAAAACAATGACTCCCCCATTCTTTCCACACTTCAAAAGGGAAAAATCAGCTCACACAGACATCCAGCTAGGACTGACCATGGCCTATACTCATTAGCCCAGCGCTCTCACATCAGTCCCCCCTTCCCTACCCCCAGCAGAAAGAAAGATGTCCACTGTCCGTGGTTACAGCCAAGTATCTGGCAGACAGATTAGCATCAAACATTAGACTGGAGACCCTAGGATCCTCAAGCTGGAAATGGTTTCAAAGAATACTATGGCTTTCCATCCTGGCCAGCATGGCTCAGTTGGTTGAGTGTCATCCCATGCACTGAAGGGTCGGTGGTTGGATTCCCTGTCAGGGCACGTGCCCAGGTTTCAGGTTTCATCCCTGTTGGGGTGCATGCAGGGGTGGGGATGGGGCAACTGACTGATGTTTCTTTTTCACACTGATGTTTCTCTCTCTCCTTCTCCTTTCTTTTCTCTCTAAAATAAATAAAAACTTTTTTTTTTTAAAGAATATTATGGCTTTCCATTTTAAATGAAAAACTTGAGGTCCCAAAAGGCAGTGACTTGCCCAAGGTCATACAAGGTCATACAGGGTTGGGATCAGAAATATAATCTCTGGACTCTATATCCAGGGATCTTTACCAATATACCAAGCTGCCTTACACCACCCCTGTCCCCTCCCCCAGACAGGTCCAGAGCACCTGGGATGCTGAGCCAGGAATGAGACAATGGATGGGCTCTGAAGTCAGCTGACATGCACTCCAATTTCAGCCACGTGATCTTGGGCAAGTCACTTAATCTCTCTGAATCTTGGGGTTCTCAGTAAAAAGTAGACAGTAAGAGTTCCCTTCTCAGAGGATTGCTATAAGGATAAATTAACAACCCACAATAACATGTTGAGTGCCTAGAACACAGTAGGCACTTAATAAATGGTAACATGTATTTTAAGTGATAGAATAGCCAGACCTGAAAAATAGTCTTCACCCAGCAAAGCTAAGAGAAGGGAAGAAAGACAGGTCCCAGTAGTTTTTTCTGGTGCAGACCCAGGTCCCTTCAGAGATCAGAAGGTGAGGCAGATGCCCAGAGGAACCCAGTGACCAGAGCTGTAGTGAAATTGAGGCAGATAGCGCAAGTCAATCAGAGAGGGGAGGGGAAAAGTGACAGGGTGACAGTCAGTCTCCTACCAGGCAGAGGGAGCAGTGAGTCAGGTCTGCAGGGGTATGAGGAGCAGCCGTGTGGGTGGAGGGTGAGTCACAGCCCAGCTCTGCCCAGCCTAGAAGGAGAGGGCCAGGAGCATTCAGGAGTGACCCCAAAGGTCCACTATGAAAGGATGAAGGGAGGAAGCCCAGGTTCAGCTTTGCAGCAGACCCTGATTTGTATAAAGCAGAGCTAACACCTAAGGGAAGCACTGGGTAAGGAGGGAGATGGGTGGCTGGGAACGGGGCTAGAACAGGTGGGTATCTTTCCAACCAAATATAGTCATTCCGGTCCCCCAGGGCTCAGTCCCAGCTCCACCCTCAAGAATTGCTGCAGGTGGCTGGGGCCAGGGAAGTGGGAAATGTCAGAAGCTCTGGACTCTGCCCTGTCTGTGCCTATACTCAGCCATAGCCACATCTGCTGGTTGGAAGATCCCACTGGGCCCTTCCTCCCTTGGAGTTTCTCTCAGGGACTCAAGGTGGTCAGGGAGCCTTGAGGCTTTGGGTAGGATTTGTACACACCCAGCATTTCAATATAGCTCCCTAGGGACCCAGTGCTCATCATTCAAAGCCTCCCCAGGAGCTGCTGGCTTCACCTGGGGAGACCAACAGTTTCTCATTCCCCTGTTTCCCCAACCTGGAGACAGGTGGATGGAGAAGACTAACACTGCATACCTACTATGTGCCTCACATCTCCACATCTGTTATTTTCCCCATGATAGTCATTTAATGTGGAAATTAGGACTCGTGCCCATTTTTACACAGAAACTCTAGGGAAAGCATCTCAATCATTCCTTGTTCCTGCCACCCAGCATACCTCAGAGAAGTGTACAGATCCCAGACACCTTGCCTGTCTCAATTTGCTCCAAGGTGCCCAGAAGGGGAGCAACTTGGCATATGGGAACCAAGAGCAAGAAAGAGCGGGACCCATATTCCAGGATTCCTCAGGACGCTTGTCAGGCCGAGCAGCTTTTCCTTGAAGTCCTCCATGAATAAATACCCCAAACCCACAGGTGTGTCCAAGCAACATGAATCCGGATCTGCTTATCCTGCACCTGCCCACCAGTGTCTGCGGATGGGCAGCTCCTACACCCACCTCTGAGGAGGTCCAGGTCGGCCTCCTCTAAGTCCAGGACTTCACGGCCTCGGCCGCCTCCCGGGGGCAGCAGCTGGTCCGTCGATTCAGTGGGAGATCCCAGGTTGCTGGTTCCACCCACCAGCCCTCTTCGAAGCCGCTCCAGGCTCTCTCCAGTCACCAAGGCTGAGAGCACTGCGACTGAAGGGGAGAAGCCGCATCAGACCCTCCGCCCAGGCCCCCGGTGGCCACAGGATGCCAGGGCCCGCCTGCCAGGGAGCACGGGCCCCACCAAGTGGCCCACGCCAGGAGCGCTGCAGCGACCTTCCCCCGTACCCCCAGCAGAGTCCCCATCCCCCCGCCCCGACCTCCGGGGGCGTCGGCAGCCCTCTTACCTGCAGCTAGAAAGAGCTTCAGCACCACCGACGGCAGCAGCTTCATGGTCCCTGACCCGGCAGAGGCTGCGAGGCAACAATCACTTTGGAGGTAGCGGCCTCCGGGCGCTGGCACGGGAACCGGGGCGAGAGGAGCGCAGGAGATTGCGCGGGGCACGGTCGGCGGCCGGCCTCCGGGTGCGAGCCTTGCGGGGACCTGCGTGGAGCTGGAGACTGCTGGGCCGCTGTCCGCTCACTCCGTTAGCCCGTGCGCGCGTCCCTCCGCCGGTGCTCCCGCGCTCGGTCGGGGCGGCCAGGCTCGTGATGCGTGCAGCTCCCTCGGTAGACTGACCGCTGCCAGCGCGCGGCCGGGAATAAGGCTCCGGGAGGC